AGTTCGATGAACGGTACATGTTATACATATGTGCAGTATACAGCACAAAAGAAATGAACTAAACCGCAAAAAGTCTCATGATAGGTTTTTTTTTTCAAAATTAAAGAATAATACAATAATATTTTCAGTCTAAAATCGCCAAAACAATAAGAAATTTCAGCCTGGGCTAGAGAAACAACATTCTTTTACAAGAGTGTATTGTAGTTGTGGCCACTGATCAAACACTGTTTCCGCTCGTTTCTTTGCAGAGGCCGTCAAGCAGATTATAGAGTACTTAGGCATGCAGCCTTGTGAACGATCCGATAAAGTGAACCCGGATAAAAACTCCCACGCCCTGCTCCTAGCGGGTGTATTCCGTGGGGGACACGATGTCCTGGTCCGGGCCCGGTTGGCGTTTGACCAGGGAGTCACCATGAATATCACCGTACGCAGCGACGATGCAGTTGTTAGCGAAGTTGTACTGTCTGCTGTGGGATAAAATGCTTTTTTTATGCCTGGTGTTCGGCTAAATTAGAGTAAAAAAAAATTCCTCGTGAGTTTTTAAATAAAAACGTCTCTTTAACAGAGATCCCTCAGCTTTTGAAGATTCCTGAAGACACCACCCGCCAAGAATTCCGATGTACTTGCGAGAAAAGAGCGACTTTTTCAAACTTTCGATCTTTCCACCTTTTCAGTTTGAACCCAATTGTTTGGTTTACTATATTTTAAATGATGAAACAAGACAATTGGTTCACTAATGAAAGTCATATCTGTGTTTTAAATCGTCTGATTATGATCTCAGTATCAAAGGTATTTTGCGATTCTCCAGAATTCTTCTTATCTTAAATAATCCTGTTTGGTCATTGTACGGGTCGGTTTTTAAGCCAGTACTAAACAGTGCCAAACGTGAAATCAAAGAATAACGTCTTCTGATTTTAGATATTTTGTGTTACAATGTACTCGTAACTATCAAACTAACAAAATTAAATAAAAGACATGATGCCAGCTATCTGTGTTCACAGTTCTTACGCAAAAATAGTATGTTTTTTAATCCAAGGAATCCTCACAGTTTTGAAAGAGGGAGGGAAACCAGGACCTCGCGGGGCTGTTGGTCGCCGGGACTTGAACCCAGTCCCCATGGGAGGGATGCGAGTTCTCTCACCGTTGCGTTGTTGGCCACCCTTGCTCCCCAGCAAGCAAAACTTAAACCATTTTTATTTTACTTTACCATGGTAACATGACTCCTTAACAATCCCCCTAAGGGCCTGTTTACATGGAGGTGGGGGACCCCAGATAGGTGAGGTAACATGCGTTGGGTCACCCCACCTATCATGTAAACGTGATGAAATTAAAATGAGAGATTATATGGACAGGCGGGTTACCCCACCTAAGCGGGTTATCTCACCGACCTGGGGTCCCCCACCTCCTTTGTTAACAGTCCCTCAGACTGTTAGCACTTTCCCTACCGTCGAACCCCGCTCTTTGAAGAATCGTCCTTACGTCAGTTTGCAGCCTAACGGTCGTCGGTGGTTTGAGAATTGAGTTGCTCCATAAATCTGAGATTCTTCTCGTGCAGTCTGCTTAACTCTTCTTCTTTCCAAAAGAGAAGAATTTTAAAATGAAAATACCGTCAGGTATCATCCAACTTTGATTTCTTCACCCGGCTTACGGGAAACTCGTGTTGCCTATGAAAACCCCAGATGGTAGAGGCGGGATTTGGGGTTTACTCAACCGGCAGAACCGGAGAGGCTCCTCCTAGAGGTCCAATCCCTTACTCTTTTAGACCCTATTTTCAACAGACTTAACACGTAAAACGCCGCACATGATTGTACCCCGTTGGTATACCTACTAAAGAACAGTGCATCCCCTTTTCTGAAGAAAATCAAACATAATTTTTTCACTTGAAGTTATGGCTGGTCTTCCAAATTTCCAACTCATGGAATCCCGACTATTTAGTACATCCGGAAGCCTGAAAATGTTCCCGTTTTGGACGGAACCTCCCCTTATAGAACATTATACGAAGTGCCCTGGGAGAACAGGGGTCTTTTTTGCATGAGCATGCGCGACCGCTGAACAAGCGATGTGCATGGAGGCTCACCACAGGGTTTGCCTTCATCAAAATGGCGCGTCTCAAAGCTATCATAGCGATTATTTTGCTCGTTGGTCTTGGCGAATGTGCTCGTGATTTGACAAAAGATACTCTAACATGGTCTTAACAAAAGCGAAGTAGACCGGCTTTAACAGTCACGAGCTACTATCAATTTCATCTCCCCACTTGACCTGGACAACAGCGCGCGTATATGTAGTGCCTGGAGGATTGCGCTGACCTCATCAAAGTCTAAACAAAGTGCAGAAACGTTTGTTGATGCAAGTAAACACTTTCAATTTTCTTTGTTTTGAAATGGGAAAGGAAGAGAAATATTTAAAAAAAAACATAGCAAATTTCAGCGAGTGGGTTCGAAGTGCGCGAAAGCCGGTGTTCAGTTCAGCAGTGAATTAATATATGTTCTACAATTTTCCCAGCACTTTAAAGCTACAAAATTAAGAGCACACGAGACGTAGATTAGTCACCTGGTGAGATGTTGGTGGTAGTCAATCTGTATGTCTCGAATAATAAAAAAAAATGAATATCAATGAGACACAGTCAAAATTGCATTCAATAGGACCGATATTAAAGTCCGATCTTGCAACCGATTTTGATGAAGCAAACGGTTAGTTTTCCCAGGAAATACAGTAAACATGTGATGCCGACCAAAAGTTAAAAATCATTAGAACATCTAAGTTCTGGCTAAAAGCAAATTCCTGTAAAAGATGCGTTACAATGTTAGTCCACGCAAAAACAAGAAGTTCTACAATTTTCCTATAAACAAACTTTGTACCGCTAAAATACTTAAGGCAAAAACTTTCTATTCCAACTGAAAACGGCGTGGTAGTCGCCCGCTGATCTTTATTAATCCACTCCCGAAATATGTCTAAATCGTCTATCAACAAATTATTGACAGAAATCCACTACGGCATCGAGAAAATGATTTACATCCGATTTATAGACAAACACTAAATAAAGAACATTTTGCTCAATAGCTACGCATCAGCAATGCATTCTATGCCAAACTTTGCGGTTCTTAAAGGGGAATCAAGACACGAGTCAAGCGCCAAACCACAACAAGCAGCCACGTTCGTGTCAGACATCCTTGAAAAACTTGCTCTTCCACCTCGTTCAGCGCATCAGTCTCCACTTTAAATCAACAGATCTTTACTTATTTTGTACAACGAAGGTCTTTCTGAAGTTCCTGCTACCATTTCAATCTCAAGCAAGCTTTCAAAGTGAACAATTTGGTTCCTATGACTATGCAGCACGGTCGCGGTCACTGGTCGCGTCCTCTTTGACAAGTCAGCGGTCGCGCATGCTCATGCAAAAAAGATCCCTGTTCCCTGGGAGTATTTTCTCAGCGACAAAACGCTGAAAAATTGATAAATTGACAATCTAAGATCTGCGGTTTAATCCCAAAATTAACTGTCCTGAATGACGTTATCTCGGCCATCTTATATCCAAATTTCTCGCAAGAACCATCTTTTGAAAGTTCACTCACTTTTTAGTTCTGAAAATATTTTTCAGTACTGGGTCTTTCATTTCGTCAGCGGTCATCGATTCGTGAACGGTCGTTCCCAGCTCATGATGAACCTCAGAAATGAAGCTATTGATCGATGTTGGTTTTTTTCCTCCCCCATGGCCACAGGCACTGTTCATGCAAAAAAATTCATCACCTTTAATTTGGTCAAGATAGAGTGAATCCCCTCTTACAAAAATTATTTGGAATATTTTTACATTTTTGGTCCGTGTCACGATGCCTGCAAGAGCTTTTTCATCTTCTGATGTGCGTGGTTATTGATCGGTTACAATGACATCATATCTGATTCATGAAACTTGGCGGGTTTTCATTTTACAGCCGGTCCGGCATAGCAAGCAATAAATAAGACGTGCGACTGGGTGTCACTTTCGTCGACGAATCAAAAGATTTTGACGTTTAAATATCTGGCTGGAGCAGCCACCAGCGAGCAAAATGGTCTTAGTGACTACGAGCTCCACTCCAATCGTATCAATTCTTTTATGCAGTTCCCCGACTGTTACCTAGCAACAAGCTATCTGTTAGTGACAGGCAGTTCCGGGCTGCTCGGACAAACTCATATTGATTTTACTACGTTGAGTAACTGTATACTGTAAAAATCGAATCCTTAATGCTAAGAAATTGTATCGGGCGGACCAGTCATTCGCAGCGAACCTTCTGATAAATCTCACTGGCGGCAGGATCAACTGAAGTACTTGACGGCGCCTTTTCGAGTCCGGGGGATTCCCCTACTTTCAACAATTAATCAGGCGTAGGGGCAGCGCTCTCTTCCAGTAGGCTCACAAGAGCATTGCTGGCAATGTGTTCTCATGAAAGAGTGACTCCTGCCTGCTGTTGTTGTTGTTGTTGTTAGCTTTTTTTTCTAATTTTCTATCGTTAGAAATGTGTACTTTTTTGTATCGAGAAGAAAACGAGGCGCTTCTGGCCCAGGGTTTTTCGCCGAATGGTGTTTTTTGTTGTTGTTGTTTAGTTGTTTGTTTGTTTGTTTTTTACCAAGCAATCTTTTCGGAAAGATTTAAAGAGAAATTTATTCGAAATAATCGAATTGTCCTTTTTTAGTGAATGACTGGTATTTAACTATGCTCGCACCGCTTTTTATTTGCATGGTACATGATAAAAAGCGTTTTGTGATTCTCCAATACGTTTTTATAGCTATTTTTGCTAACCAGCCGGTCAAATTATTCCATCAGAAGGAAATTAACTACCTTTTTGGGATCTTTGAACAGGAAACAACTTCTTTGTGGAAATAATATTGTGCATTTGCGGTTGAGTGTACACGAAGAAGTGGCAATCATTTGGCACGTACACACGCGTTTTGTCAAATTGACAAATTTCAAAGTCGATAAAAATAATATTTTTTATCGCATCTCAGGTCACCTCAGTTTAAAGAGACTAGATATTTTTAGTCAGCTGTAGTTTCCATACTGTTAACATACCGCTATGCATGATGATCATGTGTTGGAATCAAGAAATAACGTGACTTTATTAGTAAAACCCTTTTCCTTTCTCACGCACTGTACCGCAGTGAATGATATTTTTTTTACTTTTAGAGCTTGTTTTAAAAATCGATACAGCAAGATTCCAAAGATTGTTTCAACTTGCGACCTTCAAAAAACAGAAAGGAAAAACAGCGGTCAATGGCCTTTTTTTAGTTACTCGTAATTAACGATGAACGTTAAAAATAATTTTCACTGATTAATAAATACAAAACGGGGTATCGATTTGCCATTGCACAAACGCATATGCATGGTGGTCAATAACACGCTCATTTAGGGAGGTAACCGGTCAAATTTTGTTCGCCTAAAAACAGCTATTGTTCTAGGCTTTCAACATTTTGTATGCTATTTTTTAGCCATAAATATATGTTTTCGATACGTTTTCAGCCGCCATGTGCCATAAACAGGTCCCCATGTTTTCGACGCTGCCAAAATTAAAAGTTACATAATCTGCGGGGGAGTCGCTGCGTGGCGGAAAATAATCAGGGGCGAAGCTTGTCCACGAGAGTAACTGGCGCCATCTTCTTCGAAACGAAATTCACCACCCTGCGATAAGTTCAAGGTTTCCGGCTTCCTCGTAAGTCTGAAGAAAGCGTCGAATAGGAGAAGGTCTAGGAATAGTCATCCTTGAGCCACTGAGTAGGTATCTCGCTAAGAGTTATCCCAAAACTTGGCGAATTCGTGCTCTGAATGCGTTCCTTTGTTTGCACTTCGTTGGCGGCGAAGTAAAAGGGTCAACTTGAAGGTGAGTCCTTTCAACGGACAAGAAACAACTCGCCTGAAGACGTAGCAGATCCACTACCCACGAAGAATTTAGAGTAATACCAAGCGGTTCTTCTTATAATTCGAAAAGACGGGTAGGAAGTGGTTTAAGGTGGTTTTGCGTCCACTGAATCTGGAGTAATTTATAAACTGAAGTTAACCTGAGCGCCGTCCATTATCGGCAGGCCATTGTTCGGAGAACCGTATTTTGTTCGTGGCCGTTTACGCTTTGGCATGAGAACAATCACTTTAAAAACGAAAGGGGTTCGTGGATCTGCCTTAGAGGTTAGTGTTTGGGGAGACTGACAAAGACATTTTCATTCACAAAGGTTTTTTTTCGTTTTAATTTTCAGTGACATTACCGCAAAGCGAAAATCATTGCGGAACGAACGCTGTCGTGTTCGATGTCGCCATTTTAACGACTCTTGGTGTGGTCGCAGTGCTTCGTATTGCTGGATGAAAAAATCGTTGGCCTCGTCTGGCTTCAAAACAAACGGATTTTGTACGTGAACGAAGGCAAGTTCTTCTTTAAGACAGGTAATCGCATTCTTGCGGGCTAGGACCTCACTCATACGGTTCTCAAAGTTACTGAAGATAAACGCAGCTTTCTTTACAACAGCATTCCGCGGCATCGCCATTTACGGAAGAATAATTCAAATTCCCAAGGACTTTGTGTTTATATTTTAATCTCGATGAAGAATGTTCTGACACCAGAAACGAATTAACCATGATAGTAAATGTGAGAGAACTTATCGACAATCTTCGGGCGACTAAACCGCCATATGAATGTCCTTTGTGTCAAAAGATTTACAAGAGTTACAGTGGAATTGAATATCATCTGCGTGTTTTTAAACATGATGGCATGGAAGCCACAGGATCCACACCGACTTCTTCTAAAAGTAAGAAAGGAAAGGGTCGTGGAAGAAAAAGTGTTAAAAACAAAAAACCACCACCATCGCCTCCAAAGGTAACCGTGCCACGAGAGACGCTAACATACGCTCAAGCACAGAAAATTGTTGAGGTCGAAATCGAAGGTTTGCCTCAAAGAATTCACATAAACGATCAACTGGATATTTTAGATGAGGATGAAACTACTAATTCCACGCCGGAACCTCCACAAAAACCTGAGGAAACCTTTGCGTTTGAGACAATGATGATCAAACCGCTCACCGATACAAAGGGAAATGACAACAAAACTTCTGAAACCGGCGAAAACAAATCGAGTTTGCCGTTAGCGGAGTTTAGCGAAACTCAGGAACCAGGATTTAGACTGCCAGATGCACCTCCTAGGCCAAGCGCTTATTTTCGATTTATCGAGCAGACCACTGAAGAATTGGACGAAATGGTCGAATATGACATGGACGAAGAAGACTACGTGTGGCTGGACACCATAAACGAAAAGCGGAAAAGTGAGGGAATTGCGCCGGTTTCTCAAGAAGTGTTTGAAACTCTTATGGATCGACTTGAGAAAGAATCATTCTTCGAGAGCCAGACAAATTGTGATCCAAACCAGTACATAGATGAAGATGCAGTGTGTTGTATTTGTAACGACGGTGAATGCCAAAATAGTAACGCAATCCTGTTTTGTGACATGTGTAACTTGGCTGTGCATCAGGAGTGTTATGGAGTGCCATATATTCCTGAGGGGCAGTGGCTGTGTCGACGCTGTCTGCAATCTCCATCAAGGGCAGTAGACTGCGTCTTGTGCCCAAACAAGACTGGTGCTTTTAAACAGACTGACACTGGGAAATGGGCTCATGTGGTATGTGCGCTTTGGATTCCAGAAGTCTGCTTTGCAAACACTGTATTTTTGGAACCAATTGACTCAATTGAGAATATTCCTCAGGCAAGATGGAAACTTACATGTTATATATGTAAGCGGCGACATGGTGCGTGCATCCAGTGTTTCAAAACAAACTGCTATACAGCATTTCATGTTACTTGTGCACAGCAAGCTGGTTTGTACATGAAAATAGAACCTATAAAAGGAGAAAATGGCCAGCTTACGGTGCGCAAAACTGCTTTCTGTGATGTTCACACACCCTCGGACTCTGAAGCTGGGAAAGAGGAGGAACAAAGCGAGGATGAAGTGAAGGAGAAGGGTAATGTCTCTAAGAGCAAGACCCCAAGCAAGACACCGGCCAAAGGACTCAGTAAGGCAGCAAAATCAGCTAAATCAAAACGAAGCATCAAGAAATTCAGAAAACTTTTGGCAGAGAAGAAAACAACTGGAGTGCCGATTGTGAACATTCCATTTATTCCAGCTCACAGGTAAGGCATTGGTAGAATGTTTGCATGAAAGTCCGATTTAACGTTGTTTTATGCAACTTAAGTGGTTTTATTAGAAAGCAGCTGTTATTGTGTCTTCTGAAAGCCTGGACTTGTCAAATTCTAGTTACAGGTGGCATTTTTGACACCTTCAGTTGATTGTTTTGGTCACTTTTCCTGATTTATGACAGTTTAATTCTTTATGCTTAAAGAAGACAGAACAGCAACCCTTGCACACCCAGATCTCATCATGACTGGATTATTTGTCCCTCAGATGTTAAAATTCTGTAGAAGAAAACCTGTGGCATTAACATTTTGTGAAGCCTAGGGTGACCATTGCAAAACAAAGTCATTTTAACAGGACTGTCTAAACCATTTCCACTTAATTGCCAATGTAAATTGTCATGGTACTGTACTTGAAATGTGTTGAGACCTTTGAATAACCACTTGGTGGGCTCTCAACACAAGTAACTATTTTCAAAGACTTTGGAGAGAAATTTTGAGAAGTTCACTTTCTTTGCTTAACACTGTCAACTACCATGGGTGTTGAATTGACAAATAGTGTACTGGCCTTAATCTGTTTAATCTGCTAATTCTTAAATGACTATAACTTTCAAGCATTTGGCCTGTGTAGAAATGTTGCACAGCAACTGATTATTTTAAAAAGGGCCATGCATGTAATAATGCTTGGTTAAATTCAGATTTAATTTGATTCACTTATGGTGTAATTGTTTTTGATTGCAAATTAGGAAAGGTAATTTCTTTTGGTCTATTATCTAAGAAAACGAAAAGCATAAGTTGTAGTGATTTAATTGTCAATTTAGGAAAAAATACCAGGTTAGCATATTTAATTTATCTGCTTCATGTCTCTGATTTTAATTGTGAAGAGATAAATCATTGTTTTAGCACCTGCAAATTGTCTCTAATTATTGTTAATGAACTTACACCTTAATGTCCAGATTTATGTGTTAAAATTTGGAGCAATTCGATTATCAAATTTGTAAACTGATTAATATTGTAAATGTGATTGGTCTAACTAGAGATGTTGCTTTATTCTGAACTGATCAGGTTCCTGATCTGGTTGCAGCAGGTCAGGGAAAAAAATTCTTCAAGGTCAGGGGGTCGTTACTTTGGGAACTTTATGGTTGCCACTGGGGAGGATGTGTTCTAAAATAGGACATCATTTAGTGAGCAAACAAGCAGGCATAAATAATTCAGTCAAGCATACAATAGTTGTAGGGCCAGAAAAATGCTGTTGTTGCTGTTGTGTCTTGTATAGTTCAAGGTTAAAAAAGTCATTATCAACAAAAACCTTAGAGAGTTTCCTCCCTCTAATTTGTACTCTTCCTTGGATTTATACTGTCAGGTTTTTTTTTTTTGTACTCAGCTACATTATTTCAAAGGGCTAAACAACTTTCATGAGCTTGTGACTGAACAATTGGAACCTACTTTTTTTTACGCCTATTAAACATTTTTGTTTGAGAAGAGGTTCAGTTTATGATAATTTATTTAACTCCTTGATCGTTTTCATCATCTGTGTATGTCATCTGCAACTGTTGTTCAAATTTTATTTCATTTGTCCCAGAACTAGAGCTGTAAGTGTACTTTTTATAATTTTTTTTTCAAAAAAGAAAACAAACAGAATACATAAAAGTGTCATCTGGCCTCTGTAAGAGGGAGTAGTTGTCATCAATTATTGATGACAACTACTCCCCTTTCAGAGGCCTTCCCTAACCACATCTTTATTATCTAAAGTATCCCTTTTTTAACAGGCTTAGTAAGATTGTGGGTCGTGTAGCAATGGCTCGTAAAGCACAGTTCATCCAGAGCCTTCAGAGTTACTGGATGCTTAAGCGCCAATCAAGGAATGGTGTCCCTCTGATACGAAGACTCCAGGCAAGTCATCAGAGCCAGAAAGCTGGTACTGATGAGGTAAGAAAAGAACCTAAACTCTCTTCTTTGTAAAAGCTCTAAGCATTCTTGGAAACAGGGCTGTGCCAGTGGCCAGTGTCCCTGGTGCCTTACTTTTGCTCTTGGATGAGTAGGAAATCTTAGCTTTTTTATAGAAATCCTTTGCTGGGCTCCCTGGGCCAGGTTGTTCAAAGCTGGGTTAAGATTGTGACAATATTGGTTAACATTGGTTAACATTGAGATATTGTAAGTCGTGACGTATTGGCCTCGCTTTCATGGATTAAAGAGTTGTTGTTGAACCGCCATCTTGAAGTTGCTCAATTCACTTCGTCTTCTTGTCCGGCTTAATACACCGGTAATAATTGTTACATGGTGGCAGCGGTAAACAATGCCTACTGATTCTGACAGTCAAGCTTCTGGACCGCAAGCTTCAGCTCCTGCTTTTCGTCGGCCACAAGTTTCTCCTCCGCAACCTCTAGAGATCGAAGGCGATCGGGCCGACAACTGGAAAATCTGGAAACAACGATGGGAAAATTACTGTATCATCACGGGCTTAAACAACCAGCCAGAAGACTACAAGTGCGCCATTTTACTGCATAGCATTGGAATAGAAGCCATGCGAATTTTCAACGGCATGAAATTCTGCGATGGCGAGGACCGTAACAAGATGGCAGATATTCTAGTCAAGTACGATCAGCATTTTCTCGGTCAAACTCAGGAATTCTTTGAACGTTTTCAGTTCAACCGTAGAGATCAAGCTTCTGGTGAGTCCATTGATGAGTATCTTTCAGTTCTGCGAAACATGGCTAAAACTTGTGGTTTCTGTGACTGCATGCGAGATTTGTTGATTATGGACCGCCTGCTCTTAGGCATCTCGGATGACAAAACACGCGAAGAGCTACTCTCTACTCATGATTTGACTCTGAATAAAGCTATTGACATCTGTCGAGGAATGGAAGCTGCTTCTCTTCACATGAAGGCCCTGAAGAATGAAGAAATTAATAAGATCAAGGATATATCGAAGAAGACAAAGAAGTCAGGCCTAGATAAACACCAGCATAAAACCAAGAAACCTCCCCATAGTGATGATCAGAAACCTGCAAAGAAGAAGTGTCTATTCTGTCTTCAAATTCATGTGATGAAAAAAGAATTGTGCCCTGCCTGGGGAAAAACCTGTGCTGCCTGTGGTGAAAGAAATCACTTCAAAGCGTCAAAGAAGTGTAAACACCAAGGTGTCAACTCGCTTGCTGATGGTTACTCCTCTGATTCATCTGAAAGCAGCACTGGAACCATTAGCACTGTAACAGCTTTTGAAGATCAAGTTGTCAATTCAGTAAACCCTGGCAACCAGCTTATTTTCTGCGAAATGGAAATCAACAAAAGGCCTGTCAGAATGCAAATTGACTGTGGGGCTACAGTTTGTATTCTTCCAAAGCACTACCTGGGGGATCAGCACGCTATTCGTCCTGAGAGGGTTCATCTTCAGATGTGGAACAAAACGTCTTTACCTGCCCTTGGCAAGTGTAAGGTCAAAGTCAAGAACCCCACCACTAAGAAGAAGTACAAGGTGGACTTTGTCATTGTTGACAACCACTTCACACCTCTCCTCAGCAGTATTGCTGCACAGAAGATGAATCTCTTGAGTGTCCATTATGACAAGTTTAAAGCAGTTAATGTTGTCACCCATGGTAGCCAATACTTCAAACAGTTTCCTGATGCCTTTAAAGACACCCTGGTACCCTACCTGGGAAGAAAGTTCACTTAACAACCATTGAAGGTTCCACTCCTGTCGTCCGTTGTGCCCGCACTCTGCCTGAGTCTAGAAAACAAGTTGTCAGAGATGAACTTCAGCGTTTAGTGGATGCAGGAATCATTGTGCCTGTGGATGAACCTACTGACTGGGTCAGTCAAATGTCTGTTGCTGAAAAGAAAGCTGGAATTGTATCTGCATTGACCCAAGACCTCTTAATGAAGCACTGAAACGTGAACACTACAAGCTTCCCACTCTAGAAGATGTTCTTCCAGACCTTACCAAGGCGAAAGTATTCTCTGTTTGTGATCTCAAGTCTGGGTACCTTCACTGTGAGCTCGATCATGCATCAAGTTTGTTGACCACGTTTGCCACGCCTTTCGGACGCTATCGGTGGCTACGTCTCCCATTTGGTTTGAAAGTCAGCAGTGAAATCTTCCAAAAACGACTACATCATGCTCTTGAAGGCCTTGAGGGAGTCCGCTGTATTGCTGACGATGTGATTATTTGGGGTCGAACAGATGAAGAACACGATGCACGTGTCTCTACCTTCCTCAAGTGCTGTGTCGATAAGGGTATCACCTTGAGCAAAGAGAAGTGTCGTTTTGGTCTCAACGAGATCCCGTTCATGGGCCACGTGTTGACCAGTGATGGCCTCAAGCCAGACCCCTCCAAAGTTGAAGCAGTCCAAAACATGGCACCTCCTCAAGACAAAGCAGCAGTGGAAAGACTAAGAGGAACTGTGAATTACCTGTCTAAATTTGTTCCAAACCTGTCTGATGTGATGCGTCCAATCTATGACCTAGCCCGCCCCACCTCTGAGTGGACGTGGGATGCTCTGCACGAGAAAGCTTTTACAGAGATGAAGCGCTTGCTGACACAAGCACCTGTACTAGCCTACTTTGATCCAAGTAAAAGCCTAACGATCCAATGTGATGCTAGTGGACAGGGGCTGGGAGCCGCCCTCCTTCAAGACGGCCAGCCACTAGCATACGCCAGCCGGGCTTTGAGTGAAGCAGAAGCCAGATATGCCACCATAGAGAAGGAGATGCTCGCGATTGTGTTTTCCCTAGAAAAATGGCACCAGTACACGTTTGGTCGTCCTGTGGCTGTGTATTCAGATCATAAACCACTTGCAAGCATCGTGAAGAAGCCCCTGGACAGAGCTCCTAAGCGCTTACAGGGAATGTTAATGCGCGCCCTGGCATATGACATCGAAGTTAGATACCTAAATGGTAAAGAAATGTACCTAGCCGACACGCTCAGCAGAGCTCACCTGCCAAGAACCTCTGATTGTGGACAAGAAGAGTTCGAGACCATAAATGCCCTCTCCTATCTGATCATGCCTGAAGAGAAGATTCATGAGATCCGCCAGCACACCAGTGACGATACCTCTCTTCAACAGCTGAAACGCATAATACAAGAAGGTTGGCCAGCGGACGAGAAATCACTACCACCCCTCGTTACCCCCTACTTCAGTGTCAGGGATGAACTTGCAGTTACAGACGGCTTGATATTCGCGGCGAGCGACTTGTGATACCTAAAGGAATGCGAGCAGCAGTCAAGAAAGACATCCATAGCGGACACCAAGGAATTGAAGCCTGCCTGCGCCGCGCAAGGGAACATGTCTATTGGCCAGGAATGAACAAGGAATTAAAAGCGTGGATTCGCACCTGTGAGACATGCAGAGAGAATGAACTGACACCTTGCAAAGAGACGCTTATGTCTCATGAAATCCCTGAAGGAGCATGGGAGAAAATTGGAGCAGACCTTTTCACTTATCATGACAAAGAGTACCTCGTCACTGTCTGCTACAAGTCTAACTTCTGGGAGTTGGATCCACTCACCAACACCAAGTCATCAACTGTGATCAAAAAGTTGAAGTCACACCTGGCGCGGTATGGTATCCCCAGGCAACTGGTTACAGATAATGGTCCCCAGTTTACATCCAGCGAATTCAAGTCTTTTACAAAGAAATGGGGCATTGAACACACTACTACATCACCGTACCACAGCAAAGCAAACGGAAAGGTTGAATCGGCTGTGAAAACTGCGAAAAGAATGTTACGCAAGACATCAAAGTCAGGAGAAGACCAGTACCTGGCTCTACTCAATATCCGGAACACACCAACTCAAGGTGTTGCTAGTAGCCCAGCACAGCGTCTTCTGGGAAGAAGGACAAGAAGTCTGCTACCATCCACAAGATCACTCCTGGAACCCAGAAACCCACCAAATCTCTATGAGATGGAACAACTCCAGTTAAACCAAAAGAGGCAGCAGTGTTATTACAACCGGTTAGCCCATGATCTTCCAGCCCTGAATGTTGGCGACACTGTCAGAATGAAGCCATTTGTGCTCGGCAAACATGATTGGGACAAGGGTAAAGTGACAAAGCGATTAGATGAGAGGTCCTACGAAATCCAGTCACACGGGTCCACCTATAGACGCAATAGGCAGCACCTGGTCAAGAGCCCTCCTGTACCAGTACCAGATACACTACCTGCACCAGATCCACTACCTGGACCCCAACAGAGTCCAGATACCGGATTGCTAAACACACAAGCTGCGAACAGCCAGAAGGTCCACCTGGAAGCAAAGTCCACCAAGCAATCATCACCTGTGCGTACTCGCTCGGGACGTGTCATCAAAGAGCCCGTTAGATTCCAAGACTATGTTAAGACTTAATCGTTATCATTTTATTTTTCTTCCGTAACATCGATTTCCAGGAACTGAGACTTTAGAACTGTAGTTCAGAAAATAACACACTGCACTTTCAGTATATTCTTTGTTTAGTAAGTTTAGTTTTGCAGTATCATTGTTAAGTTTTCCATTATCCAAAAAAAAAAAAAGGGAAGGATGTGACAATATTGGGTAACATTGGTTAACATTGAGATATTGTAAGTCGTGATGTATTGGCCTCGCTTTCATGGATTAAAGAGTTGTTGTTGAACCGCCATCTTGAAGTTGCTCAATTCACTTCGTCTTCTTGTCCGGCTTAATACACCGGTAATAATTGTTACAAAGATAACCCAGGGTTAGCGCAAAATTTGAATTCAGATGTGAAGGCTTAAAAATTAAATTATGTTTGTCAACAAGTTGATGGTTGTTTGCTCTTAAAAATAACAGAGAAAATAGCTGAGAAAATGTTTTTGAACAAAAGAAAACGAAATCCAGGATAAATTTAACCCTGGGTTAAGCGCTGATCGGCCTTCGAACAACTGAGCCCTGGATTTCATTGGTTCAGAGCCCTGGACTCCCCTCAATTTTTCTTAGAGCAAAGTTTTTTGAAAGGCATGCAAGGAAGGTACAGCTGTGTATTGCATGCAAATTACAGGTAAGGAGAAAAGGGTAGCACCAACAATTGGTTGAGCAAAGTTTGTTATTTCCTTCAAGTTTGTCAACTATTTTCCTTGAAACAAAATCTCTTACAAGTTATATTAACAGAAATTCTTTGTGGGCAAACACGGCATTTTACCACAAAAGAAAATTTTCTCTAATGTTTGCAGCTTCTTTGATTTCGTAATATTTGTTTTGTTTATTTGGTTTTTTTTTTACACATTTAAGAAGCATCCTTTCAGTCGGGTTTAAAATGGGTATAGAATTGTATTGTAAGAGAATGTGAGAAAGTGCTAGTTTTGTTATTACCATCATTATGACATAAGTACTCTTAATAAAAAATAATGGTATTTGGGTAGTTATATAGGTGTACTTTTCTGGTTATATTCAAATATCTGTGATTTGAGCAGTTTACTTATTGTTTTTTTACAGTCTAGTGAGCGGTCACAAAGAATCAAGGCAATGAAAGAGCAACTACATTTCTGGCAGCGTCTCCGTCATGACCTAGAAAGAGCTCGACTGTTGGTGGAGTTGATCAGAAAGAGGGAGAAGCTCAAGCGAGAACAGGCAAGCATCTGTGTAAAAGAAAATTTTTCATTTCATATATAAAACGCTACATACAGAGCTGCAAGTAACAGTCAGTCATCTGATTTTCTGTTGAAATCTTAACAGACAAAGTTTAAGCAAAGATGTTTTTGAGTGATACATGTTATGCATCAACTTTTTCGTTTATGAGAGTAAGTAAAGCATGCAAAAAGTTATTTGCAGCTCTGAGTATTTCTGAATTGTTTGTAGCAATGTAATGAAATAATAATATTTTTTGGAAATAAGGACTGATTTCTAATCATTATTGTGTGTCTTCTTCAGGTAAAGGTAAAACAGCATGTGGTTGATCTGCAGTTGCAGCCACTGAACATTGTGCTCAGGAAAACCCTTGACCTTCTGATCACCAAGGATCCAGGAGAAATTTTTGCTGAACCTGTGGACACTGAGGAGGTAACATGATCAAAGACTTCTTTTACATAAGTGACAGTTTTGGTCTAGTTGTTGGTCTAGTTGTCTGCATTTAAGAAATACCTCTCTCACCCTTTAAGCCCTAATATCCACTAACAAATTCTCCAGACTGATCTACATACATTCCCTAAAGAATAATTTGTAAAAGGAGCAGGAAAATTTCTGTTAGTGACTGTTTCATTAATTCCCATAATCTTTTCTGTTGGTTATGTATTGGAATTGTGAAAGAAAATTGAGGTTGGTCAGTCGTAGCTTGAGTAAAGAATGACAGTGGTTTTGTTATGGGCTGGGGCCTGACAGATTAGCTAGTTGCAAAATGCTGTATGTTTTCATGTTACATGATTGCTTTAGACTCATTCTTTCAAGCGTATTTTTTTTTGCTGATCTTCATACATTTTTACACATGAAGGCAATAGGAAACAGTGAAAACTGTCTGATCTTGTCATGACATTATTTTACTTGTTAAAATGTTTATATTTACCTAGATGTACATGGATTTATTGTCAAGTCATTCATTAATGGGTTGTAATATTAATCATTCTTTTATTGTTATTCTCAACAATAGTTGAGGTCCCACTAGTACTTGACTTTGCTGTTACAGTGCTGTTTAGAGCATGCACACAAGTTTACAACATTGTAACAGTAGTGTCACTATAGCTGTCGTCCCACTTGCTCATTAACAGCAATTTTGGAAATAACAGCTTCACAACTTGCCAAGCATCAAATTGCTATTTCGTGTGAAAAAGTAGACTAACAACAAGATGCCTGATCAACGCATTCTTGCTGGTTAATTTTATATTCTAATTCTAATACTTGTTGTATGGTAGATGACTTTATATGACCATCTTGTGTTCAATCGATTTCTTCTCTGTTGAGGGAATCATTCTAGCACTGACTTTAAGGCTTCAATGAACATGAAGAAGTCAACACTGAATTTAGGTTTATTCCAGGCCATGACACTGGTTAGAAGAAATGCTTAGCACCATGGTTCGCAGGGTTCTTTAGAGCAACTGCACAAAAATTGTGCAGTGACTGTTACCACAAGGGTAAATCTTTTTCATACGAATGACCTTATCCCAAAATGCGCTTGTCATTTTAGGAAGCCAAGATTGGTCCATCTCAAGTGGATTTAGATAGACACCAGATAGATCGTACTTTTAGAGTTGTAAACTTCATTGTTAGTTTACTTTGATTTTGCCTCATAACCTACCTGTAAGCAACAGACACTGACACTAAAACTGAAAAAGTACCCCATCACACTTGACACAGCGTGACACAGTTGTTTAGTCTGCTTGTGGGACCTCAACCAATAATCTAAGTGCATGTCATAATTACCTTAAAGCTGATGATAGAAATTAACAATAAATTAATTTTCCCAGGTTAAATGTAAAAGTTTTTTTTACAGGTAACAGATTACCTTGAGGTTATTGAGGAGCCCATGGATTTCTCAACAATGTCTAAGCGTATTGAAGAAAACCACTACACGGCAATGGAGCAGTTTGAACGTGATTTTAACCTGATCATTGGTAATTGCATGACATATAATGCTCCAGATACTGTTTACTACCGGGCAGCACTGAAGCTAAGAGACCAGGGGCGTCCTATTGTGCGTGCAGCCAGGAGGCAGGTGGAACGTGCAGGTATAGACCCAGTTACAGGGCTACATACGGAGGAACCACCAACTCTTGCTGACAGAGAACCTACCGAAGAAGGTGAGATGCCTACAGCAACTTTAACCTACTCGCTACTGTGTTGAAAAACTTTATCTGTTTTGTGATTAGTATCTGGCAAAGAGAAAAATTCAATACATTGTTCATTACATTGTTTATTAGTCAGCACCATGATGGCTTTTGATCCTGGTGCCAAAATTACAGCTTTTGAAGTTCAGGCAATTATGCGCTAAGACATATCACGATACCCTGTGATTGAAAAACTGACACTGCCCCCTCAATTTTTTCTACCTCTCACCTGCTTTCTTTCACACCTTTTTTTGTCATTTTAAATAAATAACATTATAAGTAAGTGTTTGAACTGGCTTGCAAGCAATTTTGTGTCCTGAGTGGTGGTGGATGTCAATGATGCTGATTGTGTCTTTTTCTGTTTGTTCAAGACTTTATCTTGACTGAACAGCAGAGAAAAGAAATGACATTAGAAGAACAGTTGAAAGATTTGCAGGAAAAACTGGACATGACTCAAGCCATCAAACATGGAGGTACATTAACTGTTAGTGTTTTTTGGCCATTTAATTATGTAGCTTGCATTCAGATGTATCCTATGATCTGCTTTGGAACACAGACAGTTACATGAATTGTGCGGTAAAATTTGAAGCCCTGGCTCACATAAAATACCGTAAAATTCCCAAAATAAGCTGCGGGCTTATATTTTTTAAAGCCCTTTTTGAGGGACTTATATTCAGAAGGGGCTTAACTATGGAGGGAAATTTGCGTTTCAAGATCGATTGGGCTAGCCTTATAGTGGGAAGGAAATTTACCGTTTTTGCTTTGTCTTACTTTGTATTTGAAGGCAATTTCCAAGTGCAAGCCCCCCCCCCCCCTTCCCGGGGAGGGGGGGGGGTGCTTATATTCGGAGGGGCAATTTAATGGAGGGTTTTTTGCGTTACAAGTTTGGGGGGCTTATACATGGAAGGGCTTATTTTTGGAATTTTATGGTGTTCAAGAACTCTTGGTGGAAGATATGTTTGACAAGTTTGCTGTGCATTCTTATCCCAGAATAGTGTTAATTAAACACACCACGAGTGATAGTCCTATGTGTCTACTAAGCATGTTAAAATATTCTATTCTTTTCATCTGAAAGGTGTAAGAGCTACTCGAGTTAGAATGTTACGCAAAGAGATCGCGCTTATTAGAAGAAAACTAAACCAAGAAAAAAGACAACTTTCAGAATCTAGTGGTAAGCAAATTTCACTGTCATAGGTAATGTCTTAATACCAACCTTTTTTTTAGCTGAATGGTCAAGCTGTTCATACACTGTACCTGTAAATACATTTGAAATATGTTGTTTGTGTGAAAATGATGTTTTTAAAATGTCAAGTCAAGTCAACTTTATTTAGGCAGGATGGCCCTGTCAGCCATTGGCTGGTATCAAAAGGGGCCCTGCATAAATTACGACTACACAATAAAAATTTAAAAATTAAACTGAATCAACAGGTGGCTGTGGGAAAAAATGAGTTTTTCCGTCTGGAATAGAATCCTATGATCTCCCAAATGCGCTATCACTGCCTAAGCTGAAGGAAACTCCAGCGAGCTACAAGACCAGGGCCATATAGCGAGGTTCATGTGACAAACATCCTGCCCTCTGCCAGGACTGGAATTCGCTTCGTAGTTGTTTCCGGCAAACGCCTACCATAAGTCATTCAATTTCTGTATTAGACTTCGTTCATTGCCCCTTTTTTGCGCAAAACTGAATGATCTTATAGCGTGCTTTTTTGTTTTTTCATTGTTCACGATTTTGGCACCATGAAAGAGCTACATGTAGTGTTTTCCAATTACAACCCATTTTATTTTATTTATTTGTTTATTTATTTTTAAACTGTCTTTGTAGTTGGTGGCGTGGATGGGTCCATCCTAAGCGAGTCTTGTCTGTCACCAGAAGAAAGTGAACAACCGCCCAAGAAGTTTCGACCCATTGATGAAAATGAAACGCTAAATGGTCCTAATACAGCCAAGTCATTAGACACTGAGGATCATCGCTTATCAGGGGAGAGTCTGCTAAACAGCAGAGCTATTGCTAACCCAAGCCCGGGCACTAGCAGGCGAAGCGGTATCCTCTTTAACAAGGGAAGGTACAGAGCCAGACGTAATCTATCAGCAGGAGCCGACAAGTTCCCGCTGGACATTTTAAATACACCCAACCACGCGCTGAAAACGTCTGACTCCGATCGAACGTTTGATCAAGGTCACGTGAGCACGGAGGCGCACGTGACAGAGAATCTTCGCACAGATAGTCTAAGAGACGCTGATGCTCATGAAGATGCAGTATTCGAGGACAGGCATCAGCCAGCACCTAAAGAGAACAACAAACCACAGAAGCGTCCTCGCGGGGACAGTTTAGGCACTAATGATACTTGTTGCGTGCCGAAGAAGACCTACAAAACAGAGCTGGGAAAGCTGATTGAGGACGCTACGTTGCCTATGTTCGATACTCCCTCAGATCGAATGAATAATCATTTCGCGTTTACCAATGGCTTGCGGCAGCGTTCATACCGTTCTTACACTAGTGGTTCCGAGTCAGATATCAGTGATATCAGAATGAATGGCACGCGCGCGTCTCGAGAACACTGCCGGAAGCTGTCTACGTTGTCGGAAGACGAACTCAGCACGACCGACACCGAGAACAGTTCGGCTGAGAATCGGGCCATTAACGGACCAGTGGACGGGAGGCGGCGGAAGAAAGCGGCGCCCAGACCTAGGAAAATGACTTCGGATTCAGACATAGCGGATCTGCCTCCCATGCAGCCGTTGGATTTGGTGTGGGCAAAATGTCGGGGATATCCGTCTTACCCCGCCCTGGTAAGTTTCAGCTCTGTTTTTACTGAAATTCGAAATGATCGAAACTAAACTTTGTTAGAATAGAAAATAACAGACTCCCTTAGATTCAAGGAGAGGGCGACTTCGAGGACGAGATTCGACTTAAAGTCGTTTTTGCGTATTCCCAAAGCTCTTCGTGAATTCGACGACTTGTTTCCTAATAACCCGTAAGGGACACGATTGGTGAGCGGCCTGCGTCACTTCGCAGAGAGAGGTTAACATTAGGCTCGGCGTCTTCAGTGGTCTGCGCCACCTGGTCTGGGTGATCGAAAGAGTTGAGTGTGTTTCTACTTTCCCGAGTGTTGCGACGTTTCCAATGGAAGGGTTTGTTTGGGAAGTTATTTGTGGCTTATCGTCGACACTGTCGTTCCTGTGAATACACTTGTCATTTATTGCCCAGTTAACTGCTCGGCGCCATTTTCTTTGGTGCGATCAAACGTCGCATATCTGAGTTCGCTAAAACACTGCGAACATGTTTCTTTTGTGTCTGAGATCGTCTAGGATACGTGCGATGTAGACAGCTGTCGATCGTGTCGTACTGTACCGCAGACCGTGACGGATCACATCGAAATCAAGCTTTATAACCGTGTGTTTTAGTTATTACTGTGCCACATTCACATTTATGTGTGCAGGTCTTGTATTATTTAGTTGGTTTGTTTGTTTAGCTTTTTTTTTTAAATCATGAATCAAATAAATTTCGAGGGGAAAGGCACGTCACACGGTCGATATGTGTGATGTATGAATTCAAGTCCAGATTCGTCCTTCTCCGCGTTTTGATCTTTTCACAATAATGTTGATTCCCGCTCGGACCTTTCAAACGAAAAGATGCCGGTTAGTTTAGTCTAGTTAGCATACAACAACATAAAGGGATAAATTTTTTAAACCGCTGGAATTATTTACCTTTTTACTTGTTTACTATAGATTATCAACCCGCGAACCAAGAAAGGCTTCATTTACCGCGGCGTACCGATTCCCGTTCCACCCGAGGATGTGTTGAAGGAGCGAGCGTCCACTGATGAACATCTCTACCTTGTGCTGTTTTTCGACAACAGACGAACTTGGTAAGTTCCAACCACTTAAAGTATAAATTTCGCACAGTAAAAATGATAAGCTACGGTTTAAAAATCAAAACATATTTTTGCCCTACTTAACTGTTACTCTCATAAACTGTATTATCAATTAAGCAGTGATTTTAAGGAGATGTGGATCACTTTTGGCCCAGAGTGGTATTAAACCAACGATTCTTGTAATTAGAAATCGCAGTATAAAGATCGTCTTATCGACAGAAAAAGAGACCTTTCACCCTGTTACACGTGTGTCAATTACGAAGTAAAGGGTTACAGTCAAACCAGGTCAAGTGTACGCCTTAGATTCTATTAAATGAATTGATTTTTTGGAAAAATGCATCTGTTTGTCGTTTCTGTACCTAGTGTTCCAAGTTGCCTCAAGCCTCTGTTTCAAAGCGAGGCTAAGTCAAAGCCATTGACATGAAAATGATTTTTTATTCTCATGCCAATAAAACTCATTTTCACAAGAAAGGTTGTGCACTTAGCCTCGTTTTGAAAGTGAAAACTTTTGAAACTCGGAAACAGCCTATTCAAATCTGCATTCCTGCGTGCGAAATGAGCATTGAATGTTTGAGTACATTTTCTCAATATTCGGTCACATTGGGTGAAAACTGTTATGAACTTAACTTCCTAGCGTGTGCATTTACTGCCCATTAGTTTACGCATGCAGAAATGAATCTGAAAATATCTTTAACTACCTTGTACTAACGGATTCATCTTTTACATAAATAATGCATTAATAAAATCCTGGCGGGTACGCTTGACCTTGCTTGACTGCAAAATTGCCAAGGGAAAAGGAGGGATTATGGAAACCAGTTTCCCGTTGTGTAGTCATCTTTTACCGTAAAATACAAAGTCACTTTTTCACTGTGTTTAATGTAACTTTTCTCCCTGTTTCGCTTTAGGCAATGGCTACCCCGTCACAAACTCGAACCTTTGGGACAACAAGAAGATCGAGACGAAAGCAAGTTGCAGGAAGGTCGAAAGACCTCCATGAGGAAATCCGTCATGCAAGCTTACGAACGTGCCCTTGTTCACAGAAGCCAAGTGGAGAGGGGAGGCTCTCGGGATTCCGACGACGATGATGATGAATACGACGACGACGCCGACGACGATTCACGAACGAACGAAAATGGCAACGATGAGGAGGAGGAGGAAGATAGTGATAATGAAGATGACGACGATGATAATGACGAACATGATGTGATGGACGAAAATGGATTTGTATAGAGCAGCATTAGTCATAATTCGAATTGATTCTCTTTTCAAGGGTTTGCTCTTCAAAACTATTAGACTTGTATCGGACAAAACTCACTGATACTGCATAGGGTGGAGTTAGAATGATGTACAGTTTTTTGCGCTTGTTTCTAATTTCACTGTTTTTCTACTGTGTGGTCTTAAAAAGGTCTAAAATGTGCAGTCGTTGTTTCACTTTCAAAATAATTTTAAAAGAAAACTGCGTAATCTCGTTCTACCTTCGTAATTATAAGAAGTAACGATTATCCGCAATCTTTACATTCTTTCTAAAGAGCGTTTTTCTCTTACCTTTCCGATGTCAGATCAGTTTGTAACGTTGAAATAGGCCACAAAAAGGGTTTTGATGATATTTTTTTTCACCAAGGTCAGGTAGTTAGAGCCAAGTTTCAGAAAAAAGTGTTTTTTAAAAATGTTGAATATTACCTATTAATCTGTACAATTTGTATTTAAATGTGTAAATCTTAATCCTCTGCTATTTTTCCTCAAGAAGTGACTGTTTTTTAACAAATCGAGTACCGACCGCCTGTGGAAATGCGTTCTGTCTTGTGTGTTTCAATACATTCGTGTCTGTATATCTTGTAAATTGTTACATCCCAGGGACAATAAACTCGTCAATTATGAGACTGACAAAGGAAGTGTTGCTTTGAACTCTAAAAAAGCGCTTTTATCGTTTTGGGTGCTCTCCATTTTGCTAAAACAGACAGTCAGAAACCAGTGGATTTGTCAATGAAGAGAAAATGGAACGACATTGTTAGATCGAAACAGTCTCCAGTCGAATCAAAGCGATCCATTTGCGTTTCCACCGAAATTTTGATTACTGGTTAGCTAATTAGGACTGGAAACGGGAATGTTTGGAAATGGAATGGCAAGTTTCGGTAGGATCGGACCGACCGGTCAAAGAGGACCACCCCTGGAGGTGGACCACTTTGACCGAAAGGATTCCATGTATTTCTCGCCCGAAACTTCCGAAAATTTTGACATTATGGAAAGCACTCCTTGGGTCCAAAGGGACCCATGCGTATTTCCCTTCCTAGACCTATCCAGCATACCGTTTAAGCTATCAATAGGATAAATTTTGTTATGGAACGGTTGACGGTATTTAAAATTTAAGGTCGAAAGAAAAAGTACTGAAATGAGAAGGAAACCATTCGACCTCTGTCATTACTCCTGTAAGGCAGCGTGCTTCACGCTTCCTGAAGTTCTTAATTAAAAACAACCTCAGTGATCAAAAAATAAAATTATTGAACTCGGTTATCGCAAAATATCTCGCAGATAAGTTATTGACCTTTGCCTTAGGCTTCGGCAAATAATTGATCAGCTCTGCTCGCCACTGAAAAATCACGATATTTTGCTTAACTTTGTCCAATAACTGTTCAATATTTTGACCAGTCCTGACAGACACAATAAAAAACTGTCAACATTTGGGGAAAAGTCCACTGCCAATTTTGCTTTTCTCCTACTACTCTTTGCTTTCCTGGAAAGTTGGCCAGTCAAATTTCCATACAAAGGAAAGTTAAGGTGATAAAGTGGGCCACAGATATGGCTGTGAAAAAGAAAGGCAAAGGGAAAGAAGAGAGCGAGATAAAAGATCATAATAGGTTTTCAAAAAACAAATTTTGGCCAACAGCAAAACTAACTCGCGAAGGGTTGATTCAAGTTACCAATTTGTTTGAAATTGGCCATATTCGATGTAAAATCTTCAAGTTTACCATACTCAGCATGAAACAGGTTTGTAAACTGGAAAAAAAAAATCAGTTTTTCATGTTCACGTTTAACAGTCCGATGGAAAGCCCTTTAGTATTTTGAGGGGGACATCATAGGTCGAATATGTTTAATTCACAAAAGCAGATTCTTCCTGGAAGTCGGGTACGGTACGCACGTGCGTATCTGAAAAAGTCGAGGGTGAAAAAAATAATAATAATAATATACAAAAGTGAATAATGATGAAAAAGACCAAAGAATAAGATAGAAAAAGTTAATTATTTAAAAAGCACAGTTCGACTCAATTCATTTAACAACGGACTGTTTGATTTTTCTTTTTCACCAGAATGTCGGCTTCCACAAAAGAGACGTGATTCATTGGTGGACCGAAACTTCAGTGGTACCGTATATGTAATATATCAAGCATGAGACTCAAGTGTTTCATCTGGTGATGAAACACTATGTCAAATGCTTAATATACTTTTCAAACGAAATGATTTTAAATGGAGAAATTAACAATGCAAAGACGAGCAGTTTTTCATCTGATATACAAACACTCATCAAACATTTTAATAGGTTGAGTTTGATCGTCCGGGTGAACGTAGTCCTGAATAGGACTGTTGTTGTTGACAGTGACTGACGTTTCGACAACCTGTGCGGTAGTCATCTTCAGAGTCAAAGTGAGTTGTATCACGTCGGTTGATGGTATTATACTCTGGTTATTGATCTGATTGGTCAATTATGTCGCGATGTTATTGGTCATCTGTCAGTTAAGCCGTGATGTTATTGGCTATGAAGACTCGAAATCAGTGATTGGTGCGTTTCGATCCGTCTATTGTTGTCACAGTTAAACAGTCGTCTATTGTTAGTTATTCCTCGTCGCGCGTTTGTGTTCGGTCAGTCGCGTGCTTAGGTTTCTGCCGGTTTCACCAATGTAAGAAGCATTTGATCTTGTATACTGCTCCCTGTCTGTCCTCCGGTTTGTCTTTGTCCTTGACATTAGTAAGCAGTCGCCGTAAAGTGCATGGTTATCGGTTTGTGCGCAACACGTATATTGTAAGGTTGTAATATACGTGCAATAGTTTCAGAGGTGCCTCTGATGTACGGTATAGTCGCTGTCGTAACAGGGCCAAAGTTTGTCTGAGAGTTGGAATCAGTGTTACTGTGACGAGACGAGACGAGATCAATCACTTTGACTCTGAAGATGACTACGGCACAGGTTGTCGAAACGTCAGTCACTGTCAACAACAACAGTCCTATTCAGGACTACGTTCACCCGGACGATCAAACTCAACCTTTTGAAATGACTCCTGGGTTCAAACCTTTCACAGGTAAACATTTTAATGTTCAAAATTTCCTTTGTATTTTCTTCGTTAATTATTAGTGTGTTTGAGAAATTTAGAGAAACGACGGGAAAAGAGCAAATAGCAAGGCTGCATGATTTAAATCGTAAACGCGTTGTTTTCACTTCGGCCTGTCTTCGCACTAGACGAAGTGGGGCACGATTAGACCAACGTATAGGGTGCTTTTTTGGTTAAAAGTAATATGACAAATAGCGGTAAAAGAATCACACATTTGCAAATAGAAGTCTGAGTTACCTTGTTCGCGTAGGCGCTACGGTTACACTAGAGGATTCATAAATACATGTACTTCGGATTCAGGATTCCGCTGAAAACTTTTGTCCCGCCTTTTCTCCCGACCCGACTGACTGCCCCTGGGTCTCCGAGGATGACTAAACGCATTCAGATTCCCAACCGTTTACAGACATGGAAAATGCCGGGTCGCTTTAGCAACGACAGGGTTTTAGAAGTTAAACAACAAATTTTGGTACATTTCTATGCCGTGTCCACGACGTGCGGTCCCCAAGGATTCAACTGCAGTGAAATTTACCTACATTTGCCGTTTTGAGCAGGTTGGAATAAATTCAGAAAAGTTTGGAAAAACGCGAATTCGATTTAATTGGGACTTATTTCCTACCCTCGCCATCAATATTTTTAAAGCACCCTATAACGTGACACTTTCATTTTGGTTTAACCACAAGCTCTTATAATCGAAGGAGAATAGTATCATGATTCGTTGGAATAAGGGACTGTGCAATAATTACCTGGAGGTGGGGGGGCGTTGGGGGTTTGGTTTGGAAAATTAGTGGGGGGGGCATAGGAGAAAATAACAGCAAGAGAGAGAAGGGGTTGGATGTCAAATTTAATACATACAGAGGAGATTACTTTTTCATTCCCTTTTGCAAACTGGAAAAGTAGTGGAAGAGTTATTAGAGTTCAAATATGAATACTAACATTGGATTAAAAGTGACAAATGTATCAACTGTAAGGTGTTGTGATCTATGAGCTGTTGTTTTCCTATCTGTCATGCAGTAGGAAAGGAATGCTTCTGTTATATATCTTAAAACAGTGCTACTTTATTTGCACTAGGATTTCATAAAACAGGAAACTTTAATTAAAAGTTGCAAAAGTAGCACTATAATGTTATTCAATGAAAAAGAAAGATGCCAATGTTAGCAGTGACATGGCATCATAATTTAGCAGAATGAAAACCCAACTGTTGAAATTTGTATAGGTAATAGCATGATTTGTAGTGATATTTGGCATAAATACCACAAGTGATATTTCAAAATTGTTATACCTACTGCTCTACAGTCGACTCCCGATAACTCGAACCTTCAAGGGAAATCGAAAAAGGTTCGAGTTATCGGGAGTACGAGTTATCGGGAGCTCGAAGAAAATAGCCGGGAGTAAGGAAAAAACAGTTTTTTTACTGCACAGTGAGTATTCTAATCACATTTAATTGTAAAAATGTTGAGTGAAAATTGAAAGATACTGTTAGATTATAAATCAGAACGTAAAGTAACAAAACTTTGCCTAAATAGAGCATGCATTTTAATTTTTGAGAAGTAAAGCTATTTCACGTTAGATTTGTGGCAAACAACATCAGCCTCCAGTATCGATCCACTAGTAAACTATATGCCTTCAACACGTCAATGGGAAATTCAAAATTCAATGTTTCGGAAGCAGTACACTCTTTTTTCCCGACTTTTTAAGGGCTCAAAACATGGTTCGAGTTATCGAGGGTAAAATTATATAGAAATGATCTGAGGGGAAAAAAAATTACTTCGAGTTAGCGGGAGTTTCGAGTTATCGAGGGTTCGAGTTAATTACCGAGGGTAAAATTACAGTAAATGTATGACGGAAATCCAGGGGAAATCGATTTTGGTTCGAGTTAGCGCGAGGTTCGAGTTGGCGAGGGTTCGAGTTATCACGAGTGGTATTTATGCCAAATATCACGTACAAATCATGCTATTATTTGTTTATACTACTACCCACAAAAGGTTTGTAATTTTCACATGTAAGTATTTCAAATTAAGCTGAAATACCACTGCTCTAAGCCAATCAAATAATAGTAATAATAATAATAGCAATACAAATTTAGAGTATGGTAAATGATTAAATTGAGCTTAAAACAAAAAGTTCAGTCAGACAGGAATTCCCGAATAGTAAACTAGGTATGAGGGAATCAATGAGAGGAGACTTTTTTCAAGGGGGGAGTGGGGGTGGTTAGCCGTAATATTATCATTATGTGACAGGGGGGTTGAAATTAAGTTTTGCTTAATGAGAAGGGGAGTATGACTTAGTTTTGGGGCATATTTCACCCATTTCCCAGCCCCCCTCCCCCCTCCAGGTAATTATTGCACAGTCCCTAATAGGCCATTTGTAGGACGGTGTCATTTTACTGCTACTACCAGAACCCTTCAGGGTATTGCTTTCTTGTGCAAATTAAGGCTTTTGTTAATTGAACCTCACTAATGTATTCTGGTCTTAGTAGTGAAAAGACGTCATCGTGCAAATGGCCCATTGTTTATTCTACAAAAGATAAGTAGGTAAGGATTCACTTTCGATTTTGGATTCAAAATTTCCAGAGACTTGACCAAAATGGGACGTTTATTTATTTTATGTTTTGTGTTCACGCATCTGTGTGCGTTTGTAAACGTAGCCTTGAATTATGAAAGCGATTGACATGCTTTAGTCAATTAACTCAAAAAGGCGACAAAGACTTTTTCATATTACTTAGAGACGTCATTTCATATTCATATCCCTTTGGCGACATTGGGGGCAGGCGTAGGGGGAAACAGCGGGATTTGGTGAGTTGTGCGTACCTGTGATAAAATCCTGGCCTAGCCCCTGGCCTAGCCCTCGTGCAGACAACTATCATTTTTCAGCACAGGGTCCAGAGGAGTTTCGTATGAATAAATGAATTACTTACCTTGAAAAATGTCTATACCTGTCGCTTAGCACGATTAATTAGCCCAATGGGATCTTTATAAATCTACTGTAAACGATTTCTTCGCTTCTTATCTGACCCAGATCGACTTTTGAAAATCAATAACCGCAAGCCATATCCTCGCTGGCGCACGAGGCACGAAGTGCCGAGTAAAAGAAAGGACAAGGGAGGAAACTTGTACCACGTGACTTCGTTCTATGTGAACCGCAGTACTCGGTGACGGAAGTCGGAATGAGACCGGAAACGCAAAAGCAACAGACCGCTGCTAATTCGAGAATCAAAACATCAGCTGCGCAGAGAGTTTTAAAGGTCTCAGAGATCTATGCGAAAACAACAGAGTTTTAACTGAAGTGAAGATCTTTCAAGACTAGACATTTGTTGTACGTTTCAACAGTCTTCGATGTCTTAAGCAGGTTTTGTTTGTGCGAAGGCTTCCCAGTAGTCGCAAAACGCACAGCCAAAGACGCAAGAGGTAATAAAGTTGGACCACCGAAGAATGGCACAGTCGTGATGATATTACAGTTGCCTTGTACGCCCGCTCTACTGAGTGTCACTTTTTATTGCAAGAGTACACACGACCCGTAAATCACTATCCGTAATAATTTAACATTCTCCAAACAAAACTAACAAGCTGGGCCCAGCGTGATACAGCACTGAAGAAAAACATTACATTCACGGACTAAAGAAAATCGCTTAGTTATTCAGATCCAGAAGGCACTTTGGAGAAAACTGGAACCCTTGTTCAGCCGTAATAAAAAGCTTTACGCTTCAAAAGAGGTCAAAGAAATTGCGCTTTCATCAGAGGGCAAATCCTGCCGACCAGAAACAATAACCACAGTAAATCGATATGTGTCATGACCTCTCAGTGTGAAAGATGCGGCTAAAATCCCCGCTAAAATCACATTTGCTGTAGAACCTTCCAGAGCATAATCTACCCAGCAGAGGAAAAAAACTTTATTGGAACGAGCAGCATTTTGATTTTGGCATGAGGCAAAAGTCGTGTAGGCTTCCCTTTTATTGCTCCCATCTTGAACACATTTACTTTACTACGTCATTTCCGTCACCATGTGTTGCGGTGCACACCGAACGAAAGCGCTCTCTAGAAGCCGTAAATTTCGGTCGCCGAAAATGAATTTGAACGCTTTCTTATGCCGTTTTCCTACAGTATTTGGCAAATACATAAGAATTCTAGATCAGGTTAGTAAAATCAGGCGATTTGATTCAATTCCATTTGAGTTTCAGGGATTCGAAAATCGGCCCCAAATTTGTTTCCTCCCTTTCCGTATTTTATACTGTAAGCCGATCTTGCGAGCCCTCAGTCTCTTGGTTTGCGGTCTATAGAATGTGTAACGAAACCGTAACGCGATCAAAATAACCCGTTTTTTCAGAGGTTTTCGACGGGTTTTGATGTTCTAACGACAAACACATCTCCTCTGGACCCTGTGTTTTCAGCAGTGTTTTCTTTGTAATTTTGGATCTTATCCCGAGATCCCCCTTTTGTACGAGCAAGGTATAGTTTTTCAACAAGGACCTTTGTGTGGTAGGTGTTGTGCATGGTACTAATTTTCTGGGTCCTTCCATCTTAACTGTCAATTCTTTATCGTTAACTTCACGATACCTGCCGAGCATCCGACGTTAAGGGCTGGAGTTTTATAAAAAATTCTTCGATCCTCGACCTTGACTCACGTCACTGAATTCATTGTCCACCAGTCCTACGTTGGTGGCACAATTCATGTCGCCCGCGTTGTTTGCGCAGCTATGAATTATCTTTTGGCGCTTGTTTTTGTTTTTTCCCTATGCTTGTTGATAGTGTGGGCCGAAAATATTCCCCAGAAAGAAGACCGCGTTGGAGAAGGGTCTGCGTTTAAGCCGGATCATGATCATGATCGCTCGTTGAATTACCGTTTTGATTCAGTGGAAAACATGAAAAGAGAAACCGGAGCAGGTTGGTACAACTGTTCTACTGCTAAATCTCGGATTCTTGGCCGCTTTGAGATAGTCGATAAGTAAATTTATTACAAATGTTTATCGTCTTGAAGACGGTTCCTTAGCCGCAAATTTCAGTAAGATACCGACTAGATCGACGGCTACTCGAACCCACCTAAAATGCCATGATAACGACGATCATTTAAGGGAGGCGTTCGTTTACGAAAGTCGAACCATTGGGGATCTCTTCCGAGAAGAGGTCTATGGCATTTGCTTACTTGAAGAGAATTTATCAGGCTATAAACGCTTTTTATTTACAGTACGCATAGAGCCACATAAAAAAAAAATCAATTTCTTATGAAACTTTAACAATAACAAGTATTTTATTATCAAAATTGAAAACAATTAGAATTGAACCTCCATAAAGCGGCCACCTATAAAGCGGCCACCTTCTCTTAAGTGACCAGAGATTAAGGTCCTAAAATAACATTAGAAAAGAATTGTCATGATTAAACAACTATCATTTGGAAGATGCAATTTGAGCTGAATTTTGGATTCCAAGGCCCAGTATGCCGCGATTCTACGAGCAATCCGGATAACCTTACAAGGGCGAATCTCTCCTAATAATCTTTGCTATAAATCAAATCTCAGCTGTCCGTTACAACCTGGCAAGGAGAATATGTATATAGTAGTTTTACGTTCGATGCGCTTATACTCGAGAGATTTGTTCTTGCTGCGAGATTTTAAAATCCAGTCATATCTTCTAGCTAGCGATTTCATTTTTTTATGTCAAAAACGACCCAGGCTTAGTGATACTAAGTCTACAATGAGAATACTGTAAAACAGTACAGTGTTTGTATGGGGGTGAAGTTACGATCCTAAAATTTGTCATTTGTAAGAAATACCAACAAACAACAATGAAACTGAAGCAGTTAGATTGTTGTCCTTATTTCCGACCAGGAGTCTCGTGAAATTACAGTAGAACGACGGTAAATAATAGAAATTCCCGCTAACTCGAACAAAATCTATTTTCCCTTGATCAAAGTTTCACTAAAATTTACCCCGATAACTCGAATTTTGGTTCTTGTAACTTTACTCGGATGCCATCTCATTAGCCCCTCCTGTTGTATAATCAGTAAAATATTAAAACTGACAAAACAGCAATTTGATTGGGGTGTCAGTAAACCGCGGGGTCGGGGACTATCTTTTTTTAAAAAATGCTGTTTTAGGGTTAGGGTTAGGTTAGGGTTAGAGTAATGTTAGGGTTAGGGTTAAAGTCTCACCCTAACCCTAACCCTAAAACAGCATTCTTTTAAAAAAGATAGACCCCGACCCCGACCTTGCGTTTTACTGACATCCATTAGATTGTGATTGGTACAACGAACAGAGCACTTTTTATCATAAAATGCATAATGATGTTATTGTTTTTGATGAAATAAGTTTAACTTGCACTATACTATACGCTGAAGGTCACTGAAGTGCTGAAAAAAAAATCAGTGATCATCAATTAATTATTGACACAGCAACCATTCTAAACCTTCCTCAGTCTAAAAGATGCGTGGGCCGGTTGCAACGCAAGCTATTATATATTGACATGGCAAATTGAATACCATCAATCCCGACAACCCTCGCAGTAAATAGAAACAGTTTTCGTTTCCCTTCAGAATTCGAGTTACAGGGGCTCTACTGTAAATCTGCTCAAATTCTCCTTCCATACAATAAAATAAACAACTGACGGTAATTGTAATTTGAAATAAGACACATCTCACCCGAGTGACTGATGAGTGGCTCATCCGTAATCCCCGGGCCCGGGGGGGAGGGGTAACTGTCATGTATGGTTTATACATTCAATAGGCATGTGCCACTATGAGGCGTATTTCAGGTTTTCAAGGAGTTTAGTTTTTGGGAGTTTCAGTGACACTTTCCCACTAAAAAATTCCTAAGGTACCCCCTCCCTCTCCGGGTCCTTGATATTGCTGTCAGTGTCAAGTTAGAATAAAAGCTTAAGCGTGATCTCGACTGTAAATATTTCTTTGTTTAACTCTCTTTCAGCTACATGGCAAAAGGTTAATGTTGCGCCAGTGTGTTTTGGAGCCAAAGATAACCAGTTCGGCAGGTTTCACGTTCCACCTGGAAGGCTAGCCGCTATTAAATTGGTTCATCTATACGGTTACGTGTCCTGTTACACTCCAGGTAATCTATGGTGGTCTTACTGGGGCTGTGGCGAGAATCCATGGAGCGGGTTAAAGAATCAAGTTAACGTTGTCATAACAACCTCAGCCAATCAGGATATACTACCGCCAAGCGAGTTCCTCGGTGATAAAAAATTATTGAAGAAATTAAAGTGGCACAAGATCCCGGGATTTAACTCCCTCTCGCCGGAGCTTGTTCTGTCAGTTATGTCGACTCCTTACTGGATAGCCGACAACCACGAATTACGCGTGTGGTACGGTGAAGACTTGATGAATTCAAGCGAAGAAGACAACGGAGGAACAGTGTGCGCTGATGTCTATGCTCTTTTTGTGTGACTGAAGAGATGCAGTTGTTGTCTCTTTCCAATTCCTGAGGACTTGACATGAGTAATGGCCGAATAAAGGAATTAGCATACCTTAAATTTTACTTGGCAGAATCAGCCAGGGAGGTTCTGATAATTCCCCCCTAGAAAACTTCATGTAATGAAAAATGTCAGGAAAACATTCTTCATGAAGCTGTTCCTACAAAAGATCTGCATGCGTACATCATTTACCCTCTTCTTTTTATCTCTCGTGGTCTGTTTGTTGAATAGTGGAAAACAATTTTCCATCTTTCTACTTGTAGATCACAGAATTGATCTAGCCATCAAATGCTCCTCACGCCACTTAAGGCATGACTACCTAATTAAATATGCACATTTGGAGAAAATGTTATTTTGAACGGTTTGCTTCTATCATTGATCATGAAAACTGGACTACTAATGAAACTTAACGGCCTCAGCAGTATGACACATTTTAGAAGCTCAAATTTTTGTCACGTGACTTATAATTGCAAATTAACGGTTAAAGTATTTACTCTAAAATAGGAAAATGAGAATGAAAGAGCAACAAGTTCTGTTAGATATTTTTTAGAGGCTATTAACCCTCGGACGTACAAGGGGGGAGGAGGGGTGGCTGCCACCCTCCCTAAGCTTTTGCTGCTTTTTTCTTAAACGATAAATCATCTCAGCACATGAAGTTTTCTATAGCTGTTCGTTTATCCTTCGCGTAGTTTTGTGATGGTCAGTTACTATGGTTACGAGAAATGACGTCATAAGTAACAGGTGGTCAAGCCATTTTTGAGTAAAAGTACATGTTTTTTCTATTTTTTATACCAAAAAAAGAAAAACTAGAGTACAAAATAATACAAGATGGCGACCATGTTTGGTGACGTCACAGACCTGCAGCAACGCCACCATTCATAAAATATACCTCGTCTTGTAGAGAAGATCAAAGGCTTTCCATTGAAGGCAAAATCGTTTACAAATATTGCAACAGTCAAAAACCCAAGGGGGGTTCCATACATCCCCTCCCCTCCCTCCCCCTTGTACCACGGTGGGGTATTGCTTTGCGTGTACATCCAAGGGTTACAAAATGTAAAAAGGTTCTGAAAAATTCGCCTTGCATGAGTGTTTACGTCATATAGGAATCGGTAAATAACGGGAAAAGGGTCACATTTCCAATCATACAAGGCAAATTAACGATTTACACTGATGGATGTGACATTTTGGTGGTGAAAATTCCTAACATTAAGGTTTGCAACAATTCCCCATTTAGGAGAACGTCTCTTGTGACGTCATTGATGAAGCAATGTTACGTGTTATTTGAAATTCACTTTTCAGGATCACTGATGGAAGCAAACAGGTCAAATAAGCATTTTACAAAATATGATGATTTAATTAGGTGTAGTCGTGCCTTAAGTGGCCTGAGTCAAACCGCTCGTCAAACCACGAGCGGAAGGAAAGTTTATTTTTTTTTACTTAAAAGTTTTAAAATTTTTCACATTATTCTCGGGTGATCACATGAGTTAACAATCAACAGCTTGTTACTCGATTGAGGAAACATCTTACATCGAGTTTACAGCCTTACTTGTACACCCAATTAAAAGCAAACATCTTCGATCACATTCAAGAGCCACAATAGCTCTTTATCACGGTAGATTAGGCCTCGAAAACAAATTCTGGGAAAACAAATCAGGCCGAATTTGTTTGTGTTTGACAAGTTTACGTTACAAATTCTTGCCAGCAAATCTGGGGGTGTGTAAACCAACCCTTTATACTTTTTATACAACAGATCTGAGGTGAAACAGTACTATTTATCATACGGACCTCGGACAGAATGCGGTATTTCACAATTTTTCAAGACAAATTGCACTTGGCAATATTCAGGACGATCCGAATCGTGGGCGTTTAGCGAAACCGTTCAAAAAATGTCCAAAATCACCCATGCGGCCAGCCAGTTCTCATTTCTAGTGCGAGCTGACTTTGTGATCAAGTGTTTGAATGAACTTTAATAGAGTTACGCTTCAACATAATAACGAATTTATTATTATTATTTTTTGTTATTTAATGGTTTCAGTTATAACGATGTGAAATCTTATAAAGAGTTTGATACCCGCGACATTTTTGAGTACTCCTGCGAGCGATGGTCATGAACGATGAAAACAAACGGCACTTACAAGCGATTAAAATTGCAAGAGAGACTGCTAAAATATAATTCGGTGAAACATTTACGGAGACAACAATTTTCATTCAGGAAGACAGGTATTAAAGTGTCTCTAAAAATCCTAAGTCTTAAACTAAAGCGTAAAGCTTAAGCTTAAGTCAATTATGTTTTACCTAAGCCAGCCGGGTGTAGACAAAACGTGGACCCTCCCTTCTGGACCCCCCTTTTGGACCCCTCTTTTTTTTTAAATAAATAAATAAATAATTAAATAAATATATTTAAAAACGCAAGCAAACAAATAATAAATTCCCCTACCATCACTCCGTCTTGCACATTTACCATGAAGCTGGAAAGGTGACCGGATAAAGTGCTTCCAAGATACAAATAAAATTTCTATGCTTGTACTATAAAGGCTGACAAACGAATATATCGCTAGTATCCGCAAAACTTTGCGTGCTGCTAAACAAGACGACTACTCGCGCGGCTACGTGAACAACAAACTCCCGTCATTTTCTTCCGCCATCTTAGTTTTATCGCTGCCCGATACCAACAGGGTCACATAGCCCGAGTATCGCAGATTGTAAAAATGGCGTCGGCGTGCGCGTGGCATGGTAAGTTGCATAGAATCTATTTGCATCCTATTATTTTGCTTTGTCATGGCTTTCAAAAATGCCTCCTGTACGTTCTAGATGGCTTAATTTACTGATGAATGTCTTCAATTTATTTGTAGATGATGACGGAGTGCAGATTATCGAGGTAAGAAATTAAAGTATCGTGTGAGCCCGCGAGACTGAGAATCCCCCAGGTACCCCTCATGAAGTACCTACCTGTAAGCACTTGTTTCCATATCTCAAACCGCCCTCTCCCTTTTCACTTACACTTACATGAAATTTCTAAGTTTCTTGACCCAGAGACTTAATGCGCTTTCCATTTAGTCACCGGTTCGGCGGTAAATGGAACACGTTTCGTCGGTTCGTCCCACTGGAAAATTCCCAGAAAAAGTGGAAAGTCTAAAAAGAAGGGCCCGTTTTCCCGGATGGAATTTCCGAACGGATTGTCGTGTTCCATTTACGTTTCTTGTAGTTTGTACCAGTTCCAGGTCCACGGTCGGGCACCGCCACGTACCGGGGTTTACGACCAAATGGAACAACTTTTTACCAATCGGAAATTCCACTTTTGCTACCACCAAAATTTCCGTTTTTTTTTCCTAAATGGAAAGCGCCCTTAGCTTCTGCTCAACAAATGTCGTCATAGTGCAAGTCTCTTGAATTTTAAAGGAAAAAAATTTCGAGTTACGAACAGGAATCGATCCCGTAGTGCTAAATCTGTAGTCTCATGCCCTAACCACTACACCACCGAGGGTTCGCTACCGGAGATTAGAGTAATTTAACTAATGTAGCGAAAACTCTAACCCTAAATCAAAGCTAACCGTTAACCCTTATCACTATTCTAAGTGCTTAACCCTAATCAGTATAGTCAGTACTTAACCCTAATCAGTATTTTCAGTGCTTAACCCTAATCAGTATTTTTAGTGCTAAACCCTAATCACTATAGTCAGGGCTCACTCTTATATGTATACATATCTGCAATTACTTTGTGTAGGCATCACAAGGTATCCAAGGGCGGTTTGAGATATGGAAACTAGCGTTTCCCAGGTAGGTGAAGTACCTACCCTTATTTTCACTAAAACCGCTGGACACAAAGACCTCCTCTGGGTCGATGTAACATTGTCAAGCTGGTCCAGCGCTTCATGGTAAAATGTACAAGACGGAGTGATGGTAGGAGACTTTATTATTTGTTTGCTTGCGTTTTCTAATATATATATTTATTTATTTATTCAAAAAAAGGGGGTCCAGAAAGGGGTCTAGAAGGGGGTCCAAAAAGAGGTCCAAAACTGAGGGTCCAGAAGGGAGGGTCCACGTTTTGTCTACACGCAAGCCAGCCTCCCGGTGTTTGCTTTTTCTGAAGATGAACTCCTCGAAACAAGAAATCGCTCAAAGTTTTCTTTCTACAGCCAAATTTATAACTAAATATTCTTCGGAACGTTTTCTTTCGATTTGCGGCGAGAAAATATATCTGAAGGCCTTTTAAAGTTCTATATGCTTATATCAAACCTGATACTAGGTCAGATCATTGATCATTGATCAATCTTACAAACGTGCATAAACTTGCCGCATAAACTGTGCTCGACTTCATGAAATTCTGGAAATTAGATATAACAAAAACAAACATCAAATACAATAATTACTCAGGCTTACCAATCGAGATTCAGTTTCTGAAAGCTATCAAGGAAGGCCACAGTTGCTTGAGACTTTTAAACCCTCTTACGTATTAAGCAAGGTGAAAAACGAAAACGATGCCATTCGAAATCGGATTACCGAATATTGACAAGCGACGCATTCCTCAACCAAAAACCCAATAAACAAATGAATAACAGAAGACTCTTGATAGCAGCTGTATTTCATTTTGTACATCCAGAGAAGAAGACAGTTAAAAACATCACAAGTTGACACAAAACTCTGTAAGCTTCAGTGCAAGCTGTCAAAGTAAGCAAGTTTCAAGATGTTGCATAAATTTTCCGCATGAACTCACCTGTCAAATTTTGACCAATCAGAGCATAAAAATTGGACGTAGAGCGTGACCGACACGTTACCATTGTAAGAAAAGGTCTTCCCCACCTGTATTGTTAAAAACCTGCCTGATTTTTCGCGTCCCAGGTCAGTTTGAAATCAACATCTTAATAGTGCGGGGCCATAGGGACATAAACACAACATATTTCATAGCGGAGCTCCACCCGCGCGTGAAGCGCGCGCATGGACGGAGCACCATAGCTAAGGAAATGTGGTAATCTA